GGATTTGTCGAGTGTCCTCATAAGATCAGTCTTAAATGATTTTAGCCTGTTTACTGTCACCCCACTTTTTTTGAATAGACATGGAAACGCACATTTCGAACTTAAATGATTGTAATTCAAGAATGCTTTGGAATATAGAATGTAAGATTGGTCTTGTTTTAAAGAAGACATTTGGCAGATTTTTTGTAGAGTGAAATAAATTAAGAAAGTGAAAATTTAAGCAATACATTTCTAACATTTAGAATGTGTTTAGAATGTTTGCCTTACAGAGACAATTACCTTTAAATGTAATAATAAAATATGGCTTAAAAACGGTTAGTTACAGTCCTTGATTCTGATTGGCAATAGCTGTGTTTTATTCATGATGAAACACGCCATGACCGCTTCTCCCACGTTTCTATGTAATCACTACACGACACCTCTAGCTACCACTCTAGCTACCACTCAGGAACGTAAACATATGTTTCTCACTGATATTGTGCAACTATTTTTCCTGGAAAATAAACATTTTAATTGCCTACTGCTTTGTTTTCTGAAACTATTCATGCTGAATGAATAATTGTAACTGAAGTGTCTGGATTGGTCTCAGGACAGAGACGCAGTAATGAGCTGGTGTTGCTCCAGATCTGATTCTGTGTGTGTCGTGTTTCCTCAGCTCGAAGGACAGTTTTGTAAAGTGGTGGGACTTGGACACTCAGCATTGTTTCAAGACTATGGTGGGACATCGCAGTGAGGTAATTAAGATCACTCCTTCTGAAATAATTAGCACAACACACTAAATTAAATTTTTAGTCGCGTTGGAATCCTAGAGGGACATAGAGCTGGTGTAATTGCTCATAAGGTGTTTTCTTACTTCACTTTTGGAGGATAAATCTCCAACATTGTCTGTTAGTGTTGAAATACAGTGCAACCTTGTCCGATCTCTGTAGGTTTGGGGAATGGTCCTGTTGAATCAGGAGAACAGGTTGCTTACAGGGTCTGCTGACAGTGAACTCAGAGCCTGGGACATTCAGTACATCGAGGAGGTAAAGAAATATCACTAATGCTGGGTTACAGTGTATGTAGGTTGTAGGATGAATTACATTCCAGCAGTCTTGAATGTGATCTTTGGTCTTGTGCAGAGAATCTGCACTGATCTCATTTTAATGTGTTCTGAATAACACCAAAAGTGTCTTCGCAGTGTAAAGAAGTGGGGGAACCACAGGAAAAAAAAGTCAGAACTCTTCTCGTGGATGAGGAGGAAGATGAGGAAGGACTTGATGAAGAGCCAGAAGAAGTAATATTTCTTCTATCCTGTTTACTCTATTCAGTTCATGTATGCAGTGGATGACCTTCAAATGTTTACCAAAGATCTGCTTTCTTTCTACAGCGGATAGTCAGCTGTAAGAAAGTCGGTTCTATTCTGAGGGAAGCCAGAGACAGGGTTGTATCCTTGGTCACAGATGCCAAGGCTAATGTGCTAGCATGCCATGTAAGTATATTTCATTGTAACTTGACAGCTACGCAATAATTAGCCAAAAATGTACATTCCTTCTTTCTTATTCAAACTCTCACATGAATCAGTTCATTTGAAACAGAAGCCATTCACAGATTCATATGTAGTGCTGGGATGTCTTGATTGTTTTAGTGAATATGCTTGTTCGAATTGTGCGTAAATAAATCTGAATAAAAATGAAGATCTAGTTTGCTGTTTAGTTAGCTGCTTGCAATGTAGCTTAACTTCTTCAGAGTATGAGTAGTTTATAGGTAGGAAAGCTTTCATCCAGCGATGAGGAATTGATGCTATTTCTACACTAATCCGGATACATTTTATGATGGCATTTTCATTCCAAAATGCTGTCTGTCCACACTAGCGTTTTCAAGCATTTTTCAAAAGTTTCTCATTCACACTGAAACTTCAAAAAATGCTAATTTCACCTTTCAGCGAATAAACCTTTATAAAAGGTCCGTAAACCTTTATAAAAGCTCACTGAGATGATACAGACAGAACAGACATAAACACGCTATTCTTCAGGCAGGATAATTTTATTTAGCAAATACCATTCACCATTAAATGTTTTCTCTAAAACGCAAACCTGCTGCCTTGTTTTGCTGCAGGACAGCAATTGCGAGTACATTTTCTGTCATCGTTGCAGAAATGTGATATGAATAGTGCACAAAGTAACATATCTTTAGCAACAGTGTGAAAGTAATTTGCACATAACAGGCACTTTTTTTTTTCAAATGAAAATATATCATTGTGGACAAGGCCTGAGTCTTTATAATCTGATAACTTTTTTCTATATCTCCACAGGGCCTGGATGCTACACTTGAAGTCTTTACTGTACTAACAGAGGAGCAGGTGAAGAAAAAAATGGAGCGAAAACTAAAGAAAGCCAAGAAAAAAGCAAAGTATGTGAGACCTCTGTTTTGAAATGTGAAGCTGTCATTGACTTCTTCAGTTCTGACTAATACATAATCAATAATTAAAGAATAGTATTTTGATTAACTGTTATGTTCTGCAGCTCTCAAGAAGAAAAAGAGGATGTACCTAAGCCTGTAGTGGAGAGAAAGTTGAGTGATGAGATTCAAAAACTGGCAAACATAAAAGCGTCTTCCAAGATCAGGTCAGAGAGTACTCCTAGATGCACGCATAGTCCCCCTTCTACGTGTTATAAAGTAATAATAGTATTTTTTTTTTCATCTTTAGATCAATGGACTGCCTTATGGTTCCAAATGGGGAGATGAAGTTTGCTCTTCTTCTGCAGAATAACACAGTGGAGACATATACGCTGAAGACCAAAGAAAAGAGTCCTACTGGCACAAAAACCTCTCGGCTCACACTGAGTGGTCATCGTACAGATGTCAGAACGCTGGCCTTCAGCTCAGATAACATAGCCATCCTCTCCGCCTCTGGAGAGACCGTCAAAGTGTGGAACAGGTGATTAAGTCAAATATTTTACATTTTTGCATAGGTTTATAGATTTTGACAAAAAAACCTGAAGTATCTTCTTCTGCCAGGTCCACCTTACAGGTCATTCGTACCATGGGATGTGAATATGCTCTCTGCTCGTTATTTGTTCCTGGAGACAGGCAGATTATCTTAGGAACGAAGGTATGTAACTATTCATCTCTCTAACGTCAATCAATGAGTTTAAAAGAGTTTGAGAGATCAAAGTTTAAATACATTGCAATAAAACTTCATTACAGAACTTTTGTGGAACACTAAAGGAATTGTTTTGCAGACTATCTGAGCTGCTCAAAAAAAAAAAAAAAAAAAAAAAGCAAAAAACCCTGTAAAGTATTTCATACGACTTGTGCACTATGCTACAAGTCTTCAGCAGCCATATCCTAGCTTTGTTTTGTGATGAACACTGATATTAAACTAGTTTTTAATTTAGTTATTTTATTTTATCAATAACAAGCTTGGTATGTAAAAACATTGTGCCAGGTTGGAAGTCATTGTCACTGACAAGTGAATGTTTTATAGTTTAAAATATTTGTTATTTTCTATTCCTTTAAGACAAGATCCTGAATTTTCTGCACAAAACATTACAAAAACTAGTTCTTTTGTATTTGTTTTTTATTTTTCTTGTGTAGTTTATTCCTTATTTAGTTTCGTATTTGTTTTCTGTCAGAGTGGGAAGATTCAGATTTTCGACCTGGCTTCAGGAAGCCTTCTAGAGACGACTGATGCACATGATGGAGCTCTTTGGTCCATGTGTCTCTCTCCAGACCAGGTATAATATCAATGTCTCAACGAACTAACTTCTATTCCCTATAAAACACCACAGTGTCTGGGGATTTCAGCTTTATGTGAACATAGTCTGCTTTTTTTCAGTTGATTTGTGTGTGTTTATACAGAGAGGGATTGTAACTGGGGGTGCTGACAAGACTGTGAAATTTTGGGACTTTGAGCTCATAAAGGATCAGGACTCTGGAATGAGCAAGTGAGTTTAGTATCTGTGATTCAAATCACGACTCTCGTCCAGGTTTCTCTTCTTGGCTTTAATGTATTATTGCTTTGTGTAATCCACAGGAAACTGACGGTAAAGCATACACGCACCCTGCAGTTGGATGAGGATGTGCTGTGTGTGCGCTACAGTCCTGACCAGAGACTGCTGGCTGTTTCTCTTCTCGACTGTACGGTCAAGATCTTTTACACAGACACACTAAAGGTAAACCACAAGAACACCATTATAACATTACGATACTTCACAGCAAAATGTGGCATCTCTTGTGTTAAATTTGTACGATTGAACAGTAAACAAAAGACTGCTGTTAAAGTTGAATTACATCTACTGAGGGATATTTCACCATCAGTAAAGATATATATCAACATCCACCTTGGGGGATGCGAAAGGATTAGGATTAACCCTGATGTATTAATTGATGGATGAATAGATAAATTGATAGATGTATAGATACAATTTGATTTTATATTTATATTATTATAATTATATCACACACTTCTATAAAGTGCTTATTTAAATTAAAAAGCAATTATTTTAAAATGTTTCTGTATTGTTTTTTTCAAAGTAAATGATTGCTTTATACCACTACCTCATTCATCTATGCTTCATTCTCGTGTGGAAAAAGATGTTTAAAATGTCTTTTCATTTTAATTTATATCTCATAAATAAAATATTTAATAAAATCAACTTATTTGATTGACCATAGAGTCGGAATCAGTCGTTGTCATTTCCCTTTTTACCCAACTCAATTGCAATTCAATTCACCTTTGTTTTGAGTAAAGGCAATTGAATTCCAATTCTACATACATACTACTAACTGTTAATGTGGCCACAGTATCTTAGAAATGTCAGCATAATATAAACTAACCAAAGGCTACTAATGTAATATGATGTCATTATGCATACTGTTCAGCAACTCTAACCAAAATAACAAGACCGTTAAAGGATGTGAGCTGTGCTTAATAAGATATTTTCCCTCTTTCTCAACTTCTAGTTCTTCCTGTCGCTGTATGGACACAAGCTGCCCGTTCTGTGCCTGGACATTTCTCATGTGAGTGCACTGACCAACACTACACAATCCCGCAAGTCATTTTGACGGATGGCGTAATTGTGCTCAAATGTTGTTTGTGGCTTGCTGTGCGTGTTTTGCAGGACAGCTCTTTAATAGCCACTGGCTCAGCAGACAGAAACGTGAAGATCTGGGGTTTGGATTTCGGAGACTGTCATCGCTCTATGTTTGCCCATGACGACAGGTAATAAAAACTCTGCAGCTTGTATAGTGACACATTGCTGGCACAGTCGGTTCCCTGTCATATTACCTATATGGTTTTCAGTTATATTAGTGAAAGTATATATTAGTGATACCAGTTGTTGACAACTACAATGATTTTAGTGTTCGGTCAGGTGTCACCTGCCTATGCTGTTGACACCTCTCCAGCTGTAGTCGCTGGATGACATCAGCCTAGATGGTCATTATTTTTCATTCACTGTTTTTTCCCTGTTGTTGTTTTTTTTCTTTCTTCTATAGTGTCATGTTTCTTCAGTTTGTCCCTAAAACCCATCTGTTCTTCACTGCGGGAAAGGACAGAAGGATCAAGCAGTGGGACGCTGACAAGTTTGAGCACATCCAGACGTTGGAGGTGACCTTCTCTGATAGTTGGACAGCGTTCAATAGGCATTTTTCCATAGCCGAAATGAGTTTTCCAAAGGTCACTGAGGTGGAAGTTGCTGTTATATTGAAAGGATTAGATTTATAATAAGAGTCTGGTCAATATGCCGCAGAGGCTGATTGCATTACGTAAGCTGCAGTCTGCTTTTGCTTAAGCCATAATCAATGTAATCACAGACAAAGATGTATTGGAACTGTTGTATTATTACTGTTGTAGCCTCTCATACTCGTGACCCCCTGCATATGTTCTTCAGGGTCATCATCGTGAGGTCTGGTGCTTGGCCATCAGCCCCAATGGAGACCACATTGTCTCCTCGTCTCATGACAAGTCCATGAGGCTGTGGGAGAGAACGAGGGAGCCCATCATCCTTGAGGAGGAGAAGGAAATGGTGAGTGCTTGGTTGTTATGGAATTAAATAATGATCTTAAGATCTACCTTTACAGCTCTGGTAGACTTCTGTCAGCTTCAAGTGCATTAATATAGAATATTGTGATAATACTGTATACCGTGATAAAAGCTCAATCAATAAAACGCAGCACAGCAGAAGAAACTTTATTGGCATTTTCATTCTCCCAAAAAACCCAAGTATATCATCATTAAAAGTAAATCTGTAAAAAAAAAAAAAAAAAAAATGTACATAACATTAGAATATATTCGCTGACTTGTCTACTATTTTTCTCCTCAGGAGAGGGAAGCAGAATATGAGGAGTCGTTGGCTAAAGGTGGTGAACCTGTGGTAAGTGGCTCTCCTTGAGATCAGTTCTGTCACCTAAGTTTCTGCCAGGTCTCAGTGTTTCCTTATGTATCTTGCAGGTTCCTGGAGAAACTAAAGGAGAAGCAGAGCCTGCTGGGAAGAAAACCATTGAGACAGTGAAAGCTGTAAGTCTGCAGAACTGTACAGCTCCTCTTCTTTAAATTCAGTAATGGAGAAATGACACTCGTGTTCTGTTTCTATAGGCTGAGCGAATAATGGAGGCCGTTGAGCTCTATAGAGAGGAAAGTAAAAAGCTGGAGGAGCACAGAGCCGCTTGTGAAGCAGCAGGGAAGGAGGTATGATGTGTTCTAGAGAAAAGCACACTTAAATTACATTCATTTGAATTTAAGTTCTCTTTTATTCTGCACATGATTAGGACTGGAACTTGTTAAATACCATAAAATATGGATTTTAATCCAACGATGCAGGTGAATTACTTGTTTGATTTTTTGCTTTTTTGCAGTTACCACCCCCTAAAATGAACCCCATCCTTTTGGCTTTTGGAAATATCTCTGTGAGTGTGTGTTTTGTTTGGTTATCATATTTGGTTAATAATAAGAGGTCCACAATATATATGCATCATTTTTGATAAGTTATGTATTGGATAATTTGATAACACTGTTGAATGTTGTGATGTCTGAATTCACTTGCAAAAACTAAAATCATACATAAAAGATTTTAATATGATATATTTATTGGTTGTTGACCATAACATAATTTTAATAATATGATTTTGATATCAGTGGGTTGTTTTTAATAATACATCACAATAAAAGCTATTATTATTTTTAAATTGAAAATGTTCTCAAAATGCAAGATTCATCACTCATATTTTCCATGATTTCCATTTATTTCTGCAGCCCTCTCGATATGTTCTGGAAGTGATGAAGAAGGTTCGGTCCAGGTAAGAGCTCTTCACCAGCCCAGGCAAAAGCACTCTAACTCAAAACACATGCATCTTCCCATCTGTTATGTTTTATGGGTCAGTCTGTTATTCTCTTGATCTCTCTGTGTTAATAGTGAGCTGGAGTTGTCTCTGCTGGTGCTGCCGTTTCCCTATGTCCCGGATCTGCTGCAGCTCTTCAACGGTTACGTAAAGCAGGGCCTGGAGGTGGAGCTAGTGTGCCGCTGCCTCTTCTTCCTGCTCAGGTACTCATCCGCAGATATTGCATTAACACATTACTGTTTATTTAAATTTCATTTACGTTTATTCATGTTGATTTGTCTTCTCAATTAACAGGCCCATTTGATTTTGCTCCTGACTAACTGTTCTCTCATTTTCCTAGAGTCAATTTTGGTCAGATCACCAGCAATCAGATGCTGCTGTCAGTTATTGATGAGTTACGGGCCAACACAATCTCTAAAGTGCGAGAGATCAGGGTAAGTCCCGCTTTCAGTGCCAGTGAACATGATGAATTTAGCAACCCTGACACACCTCTCAGATTGTTTAAGCATGTGTGTTCTTGCTTGTCCGTGTTTTCAGGATGTCCTGGGTTTCAACAGCGCTGGTCTTCAGTTCCTGCAGCGTGAAATGGAGAGCAAAGAGGACGTGATGTTCTTTGCTGATGCCACAGAGCGTTTTATAGAGAAGAGGAGAAAGAGGAGGAAACGTGAAAGAGCCGTTCTTACAATCACATGAAACAATGACAAAGCTGACATTTTTCTACTGTTATAACAGAATGCATTGCTTTGTGCTTTTACAATTCTGAAGAAACATCTTGCTAATGTTTTTATAAGTTCAAATGTCATTTGTACCTGCTTAACTAAAGTCCATAAAGTTGAATTTCTCTGCAAATTAATTCACAGAGGCTGTTGTGTTCTTTAAAATAATCTTAGTTTTGTTATATTAGCTAAGAAAATGCTAAACAGCATTGTTAATGTAACCTGGTTTTAGGATTTTAGAGGTTTTTACAGGATAATAATTAAAAAAAAAACCAACAATTGCACAATGCAAGGTTTAAAGTGAGGTTTCTTACTGGTGGGTCAATGCTAGTGCTGCAACTCAAAAGTGCAGCAGCACCAACAAGGAGAAGCTACAGAACAAAAGGAGGTGTTTCACAGCTGTTTTATTTTGTGAAAACTTTCATGCACATGATATGATGTACTGGCATTCAGTTCATTTCATAAAGGATGTGTTACAAAGGCAAGGACCACATATGAATCATGATAGTTCCTTATATGACTGCAATGGCGGTATTTCCGGTGAAGCATTAGGGATGCTCGGTTTTCCTCCGCTTTAATCTCCACAACCGGAAATGGACGAGCATCCTTGCGTCAAATGCGGAATTTATGCGTGCATATAGCCCATTGTTGAGGTCAAGATTAAATTATGGTATTGTGGGACATTTTTGGTGAACTTTTTGTATTGTGATGGGTATATCGTTTTATGTGCTCCACATTACCTCTGTCCCGGATTAACCTGATTCACCCAACATTAATGCCCATATGTTTTCTTTTATGCATAATGTGGTGAAAAAGATAAGGAAGTGAGTCATCATTTTACAGTTTCTCACTTTCACTGACCACTGCAAACTTATAAAAACACAAGAACTGTCAATAGTGAAGAAATAATTAAATTGGTTCAATCTTTTTGTATTGGCTAGGCTGTGGCGTTTTTCTTAATCTGGTGGGAGATCCAAACTGACTTTACTGAGCTCATAACCTGGCCTGAATTTACAGTTACAAGCTCATACGTATGTGGGATTCATAATTCACCACCTGGAAACTGATGTGGCTGGTTTTAGCAACAAAGTTCACTATTATTTAGTGCTCCTCGGTCTTAACAGTGATTTTCACCCACCTCTCACACCTCGCGCTCCTGCTGTGTGTTAACATCCTAATCATCAGTGTCTGAAACAAATCCCTCAAAGCACCATTTTTCAGACTTGTTCAATCTAACAGTAATGAAAAAAGCAAATGAAGTGTATATTTATAAAGCCGTAAAAAGGCTTGCAGCATTTTATGGGACCGGTCTGGGTCTCAAAGCTATAAATGTCACACCTACCAATATTAAAAATTCCTCCGAAAAAGTTTAAAGTTAAATGCCCGAGAACATGTTCTGTCATGTGTTAGGCCTAATCTTCATCGAAGAGGACATACTAATCAAACACATCCGTGGTTTTATGGAAAAGCACATTCATTTAAACACACACACACTATATATATATATATATATATATATACATGTGCGTGTGTGTGTGTAATGCTATATTTAGCATGTTGGAGGTATCAGGCCCTCTCTCAGATGTCTGAACTCATAACCTTTTACCTCCTGCTTTAGTTGGGAGCACAACAGAATAATAGTGGTCTAGGCCTGAACCAATTTCTATATATGTGAGTCCAGAAATAATTTTGTTTTATATTGTGGTTAATATTTTTCATAGCAATAACAGAGCACCCATAACATCCACAGCATGGAAAGAGTGTGTATGAAATGTTCCTGACATCTCCACAATTCCCCAATCCTTGAGTCATCTGGCTGACTACTGCCCTCCTTTCACCTCATAACATGTTTTTCTTCTATATTACTTCGACTGGAGATCAGTGAATGTATCACTCCTTAATGAAAATAATCATCAGAGTTAAAAAAAAAAAAAAAATGAGTGGGTGACTGTTTTGAGTTATTCTGATGTACAGGTATATCTCTTTATATGTAAACATTACAAACAGTACAACACATAAATACACAATAACAGTGTAAATGTACAAAAACATTAGAGATAACCATATATATATATATGTATATATATATATATATATATATATATATAAAACAACAGAGCAGGGCAACATTGTATTTATGGTTTAAGCATTCACAGTAGGATTGCTGAGTGTGAAGAGAGGGGGAAAGAAGGAAAATAAGTATGAGACGTGTATGTGTTTGGCTGGTACCTTTCAGTAATCAGTGCTTCAAGGAAAAACGGTTGGGAATGTTAACATTTAAATGGTTTATGTTTTATTAATTACTTTAACGTGAATGACCACTGGGTGGCAGCATTGCTTTTCCAATGCAGTAAATGCACATATTTTTTTCTGTCTGTCTACCTTACTCACATTGTATTCACTCTCTCACCTTTTTTCTTCTATCAGTCCCAGCTGGCATTCACGTCTTGTCCTGATATGGGTTGGGCACTGAAGGAGTTTCTTCCCGTTGCTAAGCAGGTCGAGTATTTAAAAGGTTATGGTTAACACGGTTAACGTGGTTTAACGTCGATGTAATACGTTGTTTTTAGCATACCTTTTGCTTCAACGAGGAGCCAATGAGCTGGGGGGACACCGGAAAAATATACATTTTACTCATTAGGCTGCTTCATTAAAAACGTGACATTTAGTCAGCCTCCATTTTTGCACTCAGGTTAAAGTCTCATGGCCCTCTATCAGAATCCAGAGTTTTGAGAAGATTGGAGAAACTTAATTTTTCGCCCAAAAAAAAAAAAAAAAAAACGAAAGGGGTACCACTGTCGTTTTTTTTTTTTCGGGTAGAATTTTTGAGTTTCGATATCTCAGCTCTGGAAGGGTCTAGAGCCTCCATTTTTGCACTCAGGTTAAAGTCTCATGGCCCTCTATCAGAATCCAGAGTTTTGAGAAGATTTGAGAAACTTAATTTTTCGCCCAAAAAAAAAAACACGAAAGGGGTACCACTGTCGTTTTTTTTTTTTTCGGGTCGAATTTTTGAGTTTCGATATCTCAGCTCTGGAAGGGTCTAGAGCCTCCATTTTTGCACTCAGGTTAAAGTCTCGTGGCCCTATATCAGAATCCAGAGTTTTGAGAAGATTGGAGAAACTTAATTTTTCGCCCGAAAAAAAAAAAAAAAAAACGAAAGGGGTACCACTGTCGTTTTTTTTTTTTTTTCGGGTCGAATTTTTGAGTTTCGATATCTCAGCTCTGGAAGGGTCTAGAGCCTCGATTTTTGCACTCAGGTTAAAGTCTCATGGCCCTCTATCAGAATCCAGAGTTTTGAGTAGATTGGAGAAACTTAATTTTTCGCCCAAAAAAAAAAAAAAAACGAAAGGGTGACCACTGTCGTTTTTTTTTTTTCGGGTCGAATTTTTGAGTTTCGATATCTCAGCTCTGGAAGGGTCTAGAGCCTCCATTTTTGCACTCAGGTTAAAGTCTCATGGCCCTCTATCAGAATCCAGAGTTTTGAGAAGATTGGAGAAACTTAATTTTTCGCCCGAAAAAAAAAAAAAACGAAAGGGGTACCACTGTCGTTTTTTTTTTTTTTTCCGGGTCGAATTTTTGAGTTTCAATATCTCAGCTCTGGCAGGGTCTGGAGCCTCCATTTTTGCACTCAGGTTAAAGTCTCATGGCCCTCTATCAGAATCCAGAGTTTTGAGAAGATTGGAGAAACTTAATTTTCGCCCCCCCCCCCCCCCCAAAAAAAAACGAAAGGGGTACCACTGTCGTTTTTTTTTCGGGTCGAATTTTTGAGTTTCGATATCTCAGCTCTGGAAGGGTCTAGAGCCTCCATTTTTGCACTCAGGTTAAAGTCTCATGGCCCTCTATCAGAATCCAGAGTTTTGAGAAGATTGGAGAAACTTAATTTTTCGCCCAAAAAAAAAACAAAAGGGGTACCACTGTCGTTTTTTTTTTTCGGGTCGAATTTTTGAGTTTCGATATCTCAGCTCTGGAAGGGTCTAGAGCCTCCATTTTTGCACTCAGGTTAAAGTCTCATGACCCTCTATCAGAATCCAGAGTTTTGAGAAGATTGGAGAAACTTAATTTTTCGCCCGAAAAAAAAAAAAAAACGAAAGGGGTACCACTGTCGTTTTTTTTTTTCGGGTCGAATTTTTGTGTTTCGATATCTCAGCTCTGGAAGGGTCTAGAGCCTCCATTTTTGCACTCAGGTTAAAGTCTCATGGCCCTCTATCAGAATCCAGAGTTTTGAGAAGATTGGAGAAACTTAATTTTTCGCCCGAAAAAAAAACACGAAAGGGGTACCACTGTCGTTTTTTTTTTTTCGGGTCGAATTTTTGAGTTTCGATATCTCAGCTCTGGAAGGGTCTAGAGCCTCCATTTTTGCACTCAGGTTAAAGTCTCATGGCCCTCTATCAGAATCCAGAGTTTTGAGAAGATTGGAGAAACTTAATTTTTCGCCCGAAAAAAAAAAAAACAAAAGGGTACCACTGTCGTTTTTTTTTTTTTTTCGGGTCGAATTTTTGAGTTTCGATATCTCAGCTCTGGAAGGGTCTAGAGCCTCCATTTTTGCACTCAGGTTAAAGTCTCATGGCCCTCTATCAGAATCCAGAGTTTTGAGAAGATTGGAGAAACTTAATTTTTCACCCCAAAAAAAAAAAAACGAAAGGGGTACCACTGTCGTTTTTTTTTTTTTTCGGTTCAAATTTTTGAGTTTTGATATTTCAGCTCTGGAATGGTCTAGAGCCTCCATTTTTGCACTCAGGTTAAAGTCTCATGGCCCTCTATCAGAATCCAGAGTTTTGAGAAGATTGGAGAAACTTAATTTTTCGCCCGAAAAAAAAAAAAAAACGAAAGGGGTACCACTGTCGTTTTTTTTTTTCTGGTCGAATTTTTGAGTTTCGATATCTCAGCTCTGGAAGGGTCTAGAGCCTCCATTTTTGCACTCAGGTTAAAGTCTCATGGCCCTCTATCAGAATCCAGAGTTTTGAGAAGATTGGAGAAACTTAATTTTTCGCCCAAAAAAAAAAAAAAACGTAAGGGGTACCACTGTCGTTTTTTTTTTTTCGGGTCGAATTTTTGAGTTTCGATATCTCAGCTCTGGAAGGGTCTAGAGCCTCCATTTTTGCACTCAGGTTAAAGTCTCATGGCCCTCTATCAGAAT